GTATATATACTATTATATATATATATATATATATATATATATACGTCTGTGTCTGTGTGTCTGTTCATGATTAAACATTTTTAATAATTTTCTGTTCTGCCTTTCCCGCAACTTTTTGCTACAGGTGAAGGAAAGTGTAGACAAGGTGACTGATTCTATTGATGCGGCGCTGGAAATCGATTCGACCTCACGTGAGTAGAAAATCTGCACGTACTATTTGTAAACTATTCATTTAGTCAAACTGATTTCCCATGAGAATATCGGAGAACGCGTGCGATTCCACAGAGACCGAGCTCAAAAATATTTGATAAACAAGCATACGTGCAACGCCTTGTGTACACGTTTGCACTCTGAAGTGAAAAGAATCTATTGCACCTCATTCGGAATTAATATAAGGAAGCTTTGGTTCGAGCGAGCTATACGCAGGAGCTCTCAGTCTTATTTACTTCCTGTCTTGGCCCCATACCTGTCCCTTTCTCATCAAATACACGCGTGGGTCAGTCAACATGCCCGTTTACATCATATACTTCGTGTGTGTGCCCGTACTGACATTCCATCTCTCACTCACGCAGGTAAGCGCTTGGTTAGCGAGGGTGACGATGCAGATAACGATGACGAGGTGGTTAAGAGCACCGCTGTGGCCCCTTCTGGTCGCTCACCGTCTGTGTCTGGCCAGCCGGATGACTTTGGAGGCTATGCAGCCCTGGGCTTTGGTAAAAAGACTGCCCATGCGAGGGGTATCTCGCCACACTTGCAGCCCAAGTCGGGTAGAAGTGGAGTGGGGTTTTCGCCCAAGAGAACGTGGGATAACTCGTCCCCTGGGTGAGTGGATCTCAGTGTTTCTTTCTAGTAAGTGTGCATTTCATGTGACATTGAGATAGAACTGCTAGGGAAATCTATGTGTGAAGATACATATAGTTGGCAAATGTCTCAAAGTACCACAAAGCTAGCTTGCCAAAGTGGACAGACTGTGTATGCGAAAGTCGGAAGGAAACCAATCAGTGCAAATGTCTATATATTGCTCAGAGCTGCTGTTGTAGAAACAGAACGAGTTGCAGAATGCATAGTACAATATATCTGAGTACACAAATAATGTTTAATCCACTACCGGGCAAATAGACTATATATATTCTGCTGTTGTATGACTGGACCTCCCGCAGCATTCACACATCACACCCGTCGTTCGGCACTAACGATCGAAGGCGAATACCATTGAGGTATGCAATTTGTCCGACCCAACACTTCGTACATACACTATGCGTACCAACCGATTGCCACCATTGGTCTGATCGTCCACATCTTCTCTCAAACTATACCCTTACCAGTAGAGGGAGCGTGGATAGTTCGCATTCGAGCACGCGTAAAGACTCGGCCGCCGCCAGCCCAACTAGTAACCGGTCGGCTCAGACTCGGGGGAGAAACACCCAGCACACCTCAAAGAATACCCAGAGAACACAAAAGACGAGTGCAGCAGTGGGTTGGGAGAGTGGTGCTGGCGATGCCTGGGACGTTGTGGACGATGATTGGAACACTCCTGTCGGTGACCAGGGTGGTGAGTGTTGTCTAGCTGTGTGTTTGTGCGTGTGTGTGTTTTTGTTTGTTGAGTGTACACGTGTATGTCGTGAGTGAGCTTGAATCCCAAGACTTCGTAAGTAGCAGGTCAGTAAGGAATTGCAGTAATTCACAAATTTGTGTGTGAGAGTGGTGAGTTGTGGTGACCTGATTGTTTACCTTGCCTATATTCGCGCATTTGTTACTTATAATTACCTGCCCGCTGTGTGGCGATCGCGGGGTTCTCTCGCCCGGCCTGGCCAGATCTTGAGTCAAACACAGAACATACATATGGTTTGGCAATTCGGAGTCTATTTGAGAATTTTTAGTGTTTCTACCGATGCTTTGCCTGTGGTTTTCACACCTGAGCGCTGGCCACCAATGTGCCGCATTGGTTATGCTAACCTAAGTGTCTGTTCTGTACACTCGCTCCCACATAGACGATGGATTCGAGCCGATTGCCGTAGCGCCCACGAGCATCAAGAACGTACGATGTGCACGGAAACCTACCACCGACGATACCAGCGGTACAGATAGTTCTACAGGAATATTCGCCACCTCGAGGAAGGGTCCTCGTACAAAGGTAGATAGAGCAAAGGTGAGGGGGAAGCGTGCTGAGAGAAGTGACGGTGTGAGCGACGCGATATTCGGCAATGGGTCAGGAGAGGGTGTGCAGGATGATATAGCAGGTGCGACAAAGGCGGATACAGTTAAGGCCAAGGAGAAGCGTGCGCAGAGAAGCACGGATGTGAGTGACACACCAGCGAATGCAAGTGACGACATCATAGACAATGAGGCGGGTCAGGATGTGCACAGTGATGCGGCACGTGCGACAAAGACAGCCAAAGCCAAAACGAGGGACAAGCGTGCGGCGAGAAGTGCGGCTGTGGGCAGCACACAGGCACAGCATGCGTCGATTGACGATGGCGCTGGGGAGGAAGTGCTCGGTGCTGCAGTGGGTCAGACGACGGGGGATGTGAAGGCAGAGACAGTTGACTACAGCGTGGAGAATGATGTCGTACAAGCGCCTGTTGGAGAGTCTGCTCAAGGCAAGTCTGAACATGTCCGCAAGGCGAAAGGCGAGAAAGGCGCGCGGAAAAAGCACACGCCGAAAGGGAAGGTAGACGCAGAGGGGCAGGCGGTACAGCTAACTGATACTGCAAGTAAGGGGAAGAGTGGCAGCGAGGCGTTTGCAGATACAACGGAAACTCGAGATGCTGCGGAAGGTGACACTAGTGGTGCTACTGATAAAAGCATTGCGGAGGATGTCAAGGTTGGTGTGAGCCATGGACTAGAGTGTGCGGCAGATGAGAATGCGGCCATAGGCGAGAGAGCAGCTACAGAGGGTAATTCAATTGTCGATGAGGAAAGTGCGGTGCACAATCAGGGATGGGCTGATAGCGCGAATACTGACGACGGCTGGGGCCAAACCGACACTTGGGACGAGATGGAAGGTACAGGTGCACCCGGTGTTGGAGGTGAGAAGGCTGAAGTGACGCCTGAGGGTGTTATGTGTGACGCGAGTCTAGACGATACTCTACACTACACGGGCGGAGATGAGAGTGTAGTTGAGACTGAAGGTATGGGTAGGGATGATCAAGGGCAGGAAATGGCCCAAGAGCAAGATCTGGAGCAACGTTATGATCAAAATCAAGAGCAAGGCATGCGTGATGGTGTGGAGGTGGAGGCGCAAGACAACACAGTAGAAAATGCTCGTGCTCGTGCTCAGACAACGGCAGCAGAAAGCACGCCTGCGGATGCTGTGACTCGAGATGTGGCGGAGAATGTCACCGCAAATGAGCACAGCGAGAAGTTGAGCAATGAGGTAAGTTGGGCTGAACATCCGGATGTTTCGTAATGTATCGATCAACCTCGTACTTGGAAGTCGAAATTATACTCGCTCTCGCCTTTAGCAACACGGATTGAAGGCAGTTCTTATTTAAGCTAATAAGCCCTGTGACGTAAATGTGTTTCCCCTGAGTAGACGAATACCGACACGATCAACACCGCGGTAGAGAGAGCAGTCGAGTCCTTGACTGACAAGGAGGTTGCTACAGAGGACGCCTGGGACAATGGCATGGAAGGCTGGGAGCAAGCGGGAGAACATCATGGTATGGATACATCCACAAATGGCGTTTGTCGTATTGATGCCAACGTATAGTAGTATCGCAGGGGTGAGTGCACAGCCACAAATTCGATAGTGTAGAGCAGAGGCGGGCATGGTGTAAGAGTTTAATCAGGTCCCTGTCATTGTACGTATCTATTTAGTGTGATTTGTATCCGTTTAGTCGACTAAGCGGACTGCGGTTCTATGTCTCGTTGATGTATTTACTACAAAATATCTCTAGATTCTGTTGTCTAGATTCTGTTGTATGAAGATAATGCGAAATTAGGTACAGAGCTCATATAGGCCATACTAATACTCGGAACTATTATCTACAGAAGCAAACAATCCTGCAAACCAGACGAAATGTCAACTCCTGATTTCTAACACTCGTGAGTATACACTACAGAAACGAAAGATACTGTAAGAATGCATTAAGAGCTTACTCAGCATATTCTATCACTTAATAGTTTAAAGTAAGATATTGTAAGAACGCGTTAAGAGCTTACCCTGCCTATTCTATTACTTATAAATATAAACAAAAATACTGTAACAATGCGTTAAGAGCTCTCACTTATTATTCTAAACAAAGATATTGTAAGAATGCTTGGAAGAGCTTGCTCAGTCTATTCTATCACTCATGATTTGCAGCAGAAGTTACTCTGCAAATGGGCTAAGTTGCTCACACAGGCTATTACAACACTCGTACCTATCCACTACAGAAGCAACCGATACTGCGAGGACAGGCGAAGAGGCGGAGCTCACAGAATCAATCGCAGCTGACGATGGCTGGGCACAGGACGACAGCGCGTGGGATACAGCCGAATCGTTTGAGCCGATCCAAGAAGTCAGTGAGACAGTTGAACAAGACACCTGGACGGGCGGGGACATCGCGCCGCTGAGTGAACTGCCAACAGTCGTGGATGCGGTAGAGCGTGAGGAGCAGTCGGCAGTACTTCATGGTGAGGTGGATGCAGGGGATGTGGGTGTAGCAGCTGAGAGTGGGGGTGTGAATGAGGGGGTGGCAGATCCTCAAGCGGATATGGTTGAAGTAGATAGCCTGGCTGTTGAAGGCTCAGAAGGCATTGCTGGCACGCATGGAGACGATGCGACGGGTCACGAACATGAAGAACATCACGAGGGTGTACCTGGAGATGGGGACGCATTTGGCCAGAGTGAGAGTGAGCCTGTAGATGGAGTGGAGGTGAGCGATGGATTGGACGCAGTCGATGCGCAGCAAATGGAGGCTGTGCATGATACTGGCCAATACCCCGAAGGAGAGCAACGTGTTGGAAAGGACGAGGAGTATGAGACGTGCAATGAACAGAACACTTCCTCGCAGAATGGAGAGAGTTTGGAAGGCGTGCACTTGGAATCCCAAATCGAGGCCACAGGAGAGCTTGGTGAAACTGTGGGGGCAGAGAAGCATGTGGCTGGGCAAGAAGGGCACGCTCAGGTAGAGGCAGAGGCAGAGTACGAAGAAGCAGAGCCCGTCGAATATACAGACGAGCTTGTAGGGGAACGAAGCCATCAAGATTTCGAAGACAAGGGTCAACATGTCGAGGGACACGGAGAATATGAGGAAGGGCAAGAGCTGTACGCAGCAGAAAGTGCGAAGAATGTAGACGGCCAGGAAGAGTACTGCCAGGAGCAAGGTGAGCTCACAGAGGAGCAAGGAGCATATGCAGTGGAGGGACACGGTGACTACGCGGATGCGTACGACGAACGTGGGGGGGGTGAGGGAGAGTATGCAGAAAAGCACGGTGAGCATGCAGAAGAGCAAGGTGAGTATGCAGAAGAGCAAGGTGAATATGTGGATGAGCACGGCGAGCATGCAGGAGAGCAAGGTGAATATGCAGAAGAGCAAGGCGAGTATGCAGAAGAGCAAGGTGGGTATGCAGAAGCGCAAGGCGAGTATGCAGAAGAACAAGGTGAATATGCAGAAGAGCAAGGTGAGTATGCAGAAGTGCAGGCGGAAGACATAGCGGAAGTGGGAGCTCAAGTAGATGGCGTAGAGAGTGTTCATTTCGCCGACAATGCGACGCATGTCCAATACGCTGAGGATGCCTGTACGGAATACACCGACGAAAGCTACCACGAGTATGTGGATGAACAGGGTCAGCGCAGTCACGTGGACAGCGAAAGCGTTGGGTACGACGAGGGTCCCACCGCCTCGCTTGAGGTCCATGCAGTGAACAGTGTCGTGTCCAGCGGAGGTGATGGTAAGTTTATCGACGAAGAGTGTTGCCTTTTAGTTGGTACGTCTAGAACAGGTGAATCGCGCTCTGTTCGGAATTAGGCCATGTATGGCGATGTACCGTGCATGAGCGCGAAGCTATGCGTGTATTCGTGCTGATGGAAGGAAGTCAGGACTGATCTCGTTGCCGTTCGTCTCTCACTAACGTATTGACCTTTTAATTCTTGACCTTTTCCAACAAGCTTCTCTTTTTTCTTCCCCATCAATGGAACGTATTGTATTTTTGTTAATCTGTTATTCATTCATTTCTAACCTGCAGCCACCGATCCGCGTGAGCAACAAGTGCTACACCTGAGCATGGAGGTGAGTGAATTGCAAGACCAGAACCAGCAGTTGGAGGACACCAACGCACAGCTCATGGCCAAGATAAACGAGTTATCGGGCACTATATATGAGCTGCGAGAGAGCAACAACAGTCTGCAAACAGAGTACAACAAGGCGGAGAAGGCTCGAAAGCAGGCCGCTAAGAGTGCAAGGTCCGTTAGTACCTACCAAGTTGAATACATTTTATAGCTCGCGGCAGAGTCATTGCTAAAATTGAGCCTCATTGAAGGTTGCACACGCACACACACACACATATATATATATATATCTCTGTATATATATATATATATATGTATATATATATATATGTGTGTGTGTGTGTGTATAGTTTTGTTTTGTTTTGTTTTGTTTGTATAGCTTTTGAACATGACCCTCTTTGATGGCTTTTGCGAATGCACGACTAGACCATTGAGACCGTGTCATTGTGTGTAGCGTTGATATGATACGATGTCATGCAAGCTTCTCTTTTATGCGTGTACAAAGCTTACAACCCCCTGCACGGTGGCGAACCAAAACCAGAATTTCTCACAAAAAGCAATAGCCGGTAGCTTGACCACTTATCTCATAGTTATATAGAATTAGCTTGCCCACGTATCTCATAGTTATATAGAATCAGTGAAGGAGTCTTCAGCCTCTTAAATCGCAAGTACTTGATCGGATCATCTTGCTGACGCTTATGCTCGATGGCAGGGGAACGGCCGAGTTGGAAGCACTGATGGCTGAGAAGGATGAAGAGATCGAGGGTCTGCTCGGAGAGGGCACAAAGCTTTCCCAGCAGATGCATGTCAAGGATACGGCGATCAAGAAGCTGCGAGAGAAGAACAAAGAATTGGAAACTCACTTGGGTATGGTCTGTGCTTCATAGAAGCGGCCGTGCGGGATCTGAGGTGTCGTTTGTAGCGAATAGATTGTCGGGCTTAACGTCTAGTCATATACGGATCGTTTGTGTGTGCCCGTTTGCTAAGCCCTGCTAGTGCGATGTAGTGTGTGTATTGTACCAATGCACTAGAAGTACGCGTGGCATGTCATGTGTATACTCGGATATACTTTATATGTTACCAAAAAAAGGATTCAGCAATGTGTGAAGTGTCATGATCCGTCAACTGCACATTTGCTTAAAAGTGCTTGTGCGCCTTTCCCGACCGACAACAGGCAAATCACAGAAGTCCATGGACGAGAAAGACGCCTATCTGGCCAAGACTACACTGGAGAAGAACTCTGCCACCGAGCAACTAGCGGCCAGTGTTGCCAGGGCAAGCCAACTGGAGAAGGAGATGGGGCCCCTGAAGCACGAACTACACACGGCCAAACAGAACTTAGAGAGTAGTGAGAGGATTATCCAGAACCTGAACGACAAAGTAGAGGCATTCAGGGTATGTTCTGGGTGCTGCGGAAATTCACATGTGCTGTTGACGTGACGCCTAGCTGGTGTTTGGCGCACGCATTGTATAACGGATTCATTGACCACAGTTACCAAAACCTCCAAAGCATTATCGTGTGTAGGAGTGTGATATACACATATGTGAATATATGTATATGTGTATATGTAGCTCAATAGGCTGGGCGTGTGCATATACCACGGCCAGCCCAATCCAATCTGCAATGATCTATGCACATGATGATTTGAGGTATGACCCTCGTTCGTTGTATTCGATCGAAGCATACTTACTTTGTTTTATGACCTCGTGCCTCATGCACTTCCATAGATAGAGGTCGATAACGTCAGACGGGAAGGCGAGGACCGGGTGCGCACCATTGAGGAGAAAGTGATGACGGAACAGATGGGCGTGAGTGAAGACGTGACCGCCAGGTACGAGAAGCAGATAGAGACGGGTAAAGAGGCCATCGAACTACTGCGAGCACAGATTGAAACACTGGAATCAGCCCACAGTGCGAAGGAAGACGAATGGGAGGATGTACATAGACGTACCGTGATGGAGGCGGAGGAGCTCAGAGAGCAGTTGCAGGAGCAGGAGAGCCGAGTGGAGGACCTCACGAACGAGCTCGTGGTCAGTGCCGCGCCGTTGAATAAACAGGTGGGGCCATTCGATCAAATGATTTCTATGTGCTGTGAGGGTATACGATTCAGTGGATGAGGGGGTGTACTTGTGCTGGTTCATTTATGCTGGACGTATATACATGGCAATTGATAAGGTAGTGTATCTGTCCCTGGCGCTTTTGAGGATAAGCATTTCTGTGCATACATTCGTGGTGTTGATGTTTTCTGACACCCATAAATAATGCCTACTACACTTCCAGATTGAGTCCCTGCGCGCATCGCTGGCCGAGCACCAGGAGGAACTGCATATGGTTGAACGCAGCTATACTGAACGTCTTGGCGAAGCAGGTAATGATATAGAATGGCTCCCGGATTGGTGGTTTGTGTTCCATGTCACCTACACTACATACTCGTGTCGTGATCTTGTATTCCCACGCAGTTTCCTTGCTAGTTTTGTAACAGACGTAAGTATACGCGAAGCACCACAGAATAAAAAAATATTCGATTTTATCTTTTAATTGTATCGCGAGTCTTCTCACATGTCATGATTTCGTACCTACAGTTTCTCCGAGAAAGACGCTACGCTAAGTGAAGCCACACATACGAGGAGATCAAACTATTGACGAGTATTCTGCGTGCAGTTATCTGTATCTCTGTCTTTGTTGTGACTTGATGTATCCACTGAATTCTGATTTTGTTATAATTCCATGACAGACGCGAAGCTCAGCGAAGCCATTCAAAACGAGGACAACTATGCGCGTCGGATGGACGAGGCCAGTGAGAACGTGGCACACCTCACGAGCGTGCTAACGGATGAGAGGGAGCAGCATGAGCTGAAGCTCAACAAAGCGGTTGCCAAGCAACGGGAACTGCAGAGCGAGCTCGATCTGGAGAAGGAACGTGCGAATGCTGAGATTACTCGGCTGGAGAATGAGAAACTCAAACAGGTGTCGCTATCAGAGCACCGTATGGAAGGTACTTGACCTTTCTCCCCCGTTTGTCTCGATTGTGGCCATCTCGTTAATAGCATTTTTGGTGTCACTATGTGCGTTTTGTTCTTTCTTTGGTCGATGTGTTCGTTCCGTTATATGAATACGTATATACACACAGTTATAAACGATGATGGATGACTGGGATGAGGTTTTTGGCCATGAAGCATGATGGATGATATGAGACGATGAGTCATCTTGTGTAATATTAACTATGTTGCAGAGTCGTTGTCGCGCGTGGAAGAGCTTGAGAAACAGAACAGCGCGTGCACCGCACAGATTGGCGAATTGAAGACTGAGTTGGCGCAGATGGAAGAAGAGTTGCGCCACTATGCGCACAGGTGTGTTTGCAGAGCACTGCGCGTAGAATTGCTCGCGAGCGAAAGACCTTCCGCCATGAGTCGTGTGAATGCTAATATCCGCGAGGGTTGTCGCTGCTGACAGTATATACTTGTTGCTCTGATTACTGTTGATTTAGTATTTGTGTGGTGTGCGGTGAATGTCACGCTGAGGAAGAGATGATTTTATCGTCTTTCAGCCTCTGACCTCGGTGCTATTGCCGAGTCTGCCAGTAATTAAGTCGTGAGTGTGTCTACCATTAGCTATACATTGTAGGTAACTTGGATGCTGCTGTCTGAGAGGTTGCTACTGCGGATTATACCGGGTCTCCTGACAGCTGTGAGTAAAACCTTCAATGGATACAGTCGACACCGCACACATATTAACAGTGAAAGGCGAACCAACTGCTGTTGGTAGAACATATCCGAGATACACATCCCGTTGGTATGGTAACATAATCTCATACTCTGGTACACTTATCCCATATGATCTCAGGGGGTCGCCTACAACGAGTCCAATGGAGCGCGCCCAATCGCTGCGACGAGAAATCAGTGCGGACGGTTCGCACTTGTCTTCGTCGTCGATTAAGGTACGTGCTACGATGCATGGCATCACTCTCTGGCGTATCCGTCGGAATCAAGATATCTGTGACATACTATAGTGTCTGCTGCATACTTTGTAGCGATCATAAGTGTCAGCTGCATGGTATTAGTTTCTGTTTTGTATCTGCCGTAGAGATTGGTTCAAACCTGTCTTCCATAGTTGGCTGCGATTGCGCCTCGTGACATCCCGGTTATTCTATTTTTAGAGCTAGCATATGAATGACACGCCTTCGCACTGTGTAGATCGACTGGCATTGGAGACACCAGTTGAGCGCCGGAGTGTGTGCGTGTCAATTGAACACACATTACTTTAGTATCATGCCTCTCTGAGGACGTGTGTATCTCTTCACATATGCGCATAGGATATTGGAATGCAGCAATGCCGTTCAACCACTTCAATTTTTCTTACCTAGTAAGGAACACTGCTACTTCTTGCACAAGTTAGGTTTGCCATGGATAGACAAGTGCAACACAAGCCATAGCGCAGTTCAAACTAAAAATACTGTATCCATAGAGCGGCCGATCAACCCTTCTCTGTCTTTAACAAGTGGAAAATGGAGCCAGATCTGCGTTTATTTCGCATTACATTTAGAGTGGCCAGGCCATACGGCGAGTGAGCATGTCGTATAATCGTTCAATTAAGTAAGTCAGTATCTTCTGTTATATGGCAGGTACACTCAACAGGGGACGAACTGGGGCGACTCAATACGGACACACTCAGCAATTGGGAGCAGTTGAAAGGGGTGTGTATCAGATATGCCTCTATAACCTTGCATTTTGCTGCTGTTCCAATAACGACTGAACTTCATGCTGTGTTTTAAATGTCTGTGGCGAGCGGAATATATCTCTCGCGTTTTCTTGCCTTGGGCAATCGATCACCACATACACAACCTCCAATACCCTCGCAGCCGCCAGCCTTGCCATCACATCTCATCATGCACTGTCCAGTCACAGCCCAGATCTTCCAATTGCGTCTGCATGACTTGCACATCTCTCGTCAAACGCTTCGTTCTTACTGCAGCCATGTTACACAGTCTGCTAGTCAATGTCTTCGCATGTGGTGTGTGTAGGTCACGCAGTATGCTTGTCAGTGTCTGCGCGTGGTTTGCTAGCAACTCGCACTCACTCGTTGGCACTCTACGTATGATATACACACGTCCAGGCACTGCACCAGCGCGAACGGGAAGTCGTCAGTTTACAGAGGCAAATACAGGAAGAGACCAATCTACGAGTGTCTATGGAAGGTGTGTCGATTGGCAGGGCTACGCGTTTGGTAATCTGTCGTCAATGTGTAGCGCAAGCTTAGTTTTAACACTATTTACACTAACGATTATGGATGGAATGTAACTACCAGATGCTTTAAATTAAATGCATACCGTATCAAATGTTAACCCTTTATCGTATTTCACAGAGGAAGTTACCGCACTCGTGGCCGAAATTGAAGAGCTGCAAGTATTCAAGGGTAAAGTGGATGAACTGCAGACGGCATATGAAGGTATTGCGCACCTCGCATGTGGGTTGCATCGTCCTTTCAGTTAGCACGCAATTGCTGCGTGTTGTATCTAGCCATTTTTTGTGCATGATTGGGCTGAAAGTCATGGTTCTTGAATAACTTTGTCATAATCATACGCACGCCTGATCTCTATTTGAATTTGAAGTGTGCAAACCGCTCTGTTACAGCTCGGATACGCTGATCGCATGAGGGAGGCAATCTGTACTCAATAACTATTGGCGCGGTCTGTCCTTGTTCTTTTACTTCAGCCATGAATCAGAAATACGAGGTGATGCTCCAAATGTATGGGCAAAAGGCGGAAGAGGCCGAAGAAGCACGCTTGGATTTGCTAGATATTAAGGAAATGTACAAGGATCAAACAAATCACTTGATCATGCAAATCAGTGATCTGGAAACTAAGGTTGCATCGGCACGATGACGGCGTTGTGTTCAAATTATACAAGAAGAATGGTGTGACATGGAATCCCAGCTATACCACTATGATCAGGGCTGCTAGAAAACAGAATATCGAACGTGACGGCACTCTCAGCAATAACATTTTGAGTATGCTATAATCTGAATCAGGAATGGTGGGATAAGGGAGCCCAGTTATACCGCTGTGGTCAATGCTGTTGGAGATCAGAAGATCGGACTGATGACACTCTTAGCAATAGCTAATGGCTTCGCACTGTCCAGTGACAAGGACTGTCCCTTGGCAAATACTGAGTGACTGAACACGGGAAATGTTTCCAAACCGAGTGAATGCACACTTCGATCGATGCCGGTTCATGCGCACCACGACCTGAGGTCTAGACGGGTTAGCCCATGGGGCAAACTGGGGTTGGCCGGAGTACACACCTGTACATGCAACTTAAGAGCCCTGGATTTACTGTCGGCTGCAGCTCAGTTGTCCACTTAAGCATGCGACAGCTCGATGGCCTACCCAGAGCGAACTTGAAAGGTTAAATACTTCTAGATGTTATAGTTAGTAAGCTCAGGCCCAGCTTCGCGACCTGTGGCTCTTGGAGATGTAATCTAGCGCTCCTGTCTGCCAGCAGTCGAGCATGTACAAGACCTCACATCGCCCTTATTTTGTATCCCTTGTGGCTTTGAGAGAGATCGGGCTAGAGTTCCAACACTTTGCAATTCCATTCGACACCCAAAGGCTCAAGTGAAGCCCAGAGAAGGTACCACGGGATACCGTAACCATAAAAAGGCCATGAAACATGGAAGAGATATTCAAGCAAAGAGGGACGAATCGCAACTGTTCGAGAACACATAGGCACAAGTCGAAGTATACACAGTACCTAGCGTAGTAGGTACAAAGATATAGCGATACACGCTTACTAGTACATTTAGTCAGTGATGCTCTTTTCGATCTATTTTGGCTGGGATAAACATTAAACTATGAGGACATAAACTATGGCCTTTAAACATGTATCTCTTCGCCCTCATAGTTCAGGATGGCATGGTAAAGAATATAACGTCTAAGGCATTGTATAACCACTGACCCAATGTTCAAGCTGGACCAAAATACGCGCAGTGGTAAATATTCTTCTTATTAGAGCTGCTCTCCAACGGACACGGTTCGCTCTTCTCTGATCACTGTATACTATCACACTTCAAATTCAGACGGTTTTCATGCAATTTCCTCACAACATTTGTCGAACTTTATCTATTTAAACAATGATCCTTATTTGCATTGGAATGGCTATCTAATTAGGCTGACCATGCTCTACAAATAATTTATTTGTTTTTAAATAAACGCAGAATTATAAATATGAAGTTGATGTTTTATTGGAGTATATATTTTACGTGCCGAGTGACTACCATCGCTCCGAATGTCCAATGGTCTTGTCATATCAGCACCTTTGCAGATTAATCTCTTTCATGGGATTCCTGATAGAGCTCGTCGCACCAGTGGCACCACTGTAGAGCGTAGATAGATTGCTTTCCTTTCTCGAACGCCACGCGCTCTCTAATCTACTAATTTAGTCTAAAGTTGTGGCATGAGGTTCTAGAAGCTGAAGAATCTGTTTAACGATTGCTGTAAAGAGTTCACCGATGGGGAATCTATTGTTGAGTCTTCTACTATCCTGTGACTATCGGCTTCTTAATTTTATACAACGTTTATATGGTGTGCACATCGTTGGCGTACGCCGTACATGCTACTATTTTACGTTTCGAGTGGATATAATTATTTACATGATATATATGACAACTTTTTGTAAATATATTTTTATTTATCAGTTTAAGATCAGTATTCTATAATTTGATAAAAATCACTGTACATCACCCGCCTTCGTCCCACGTGTCCCCAACCCAGCGGTCACCTATTCTCACGGGTCTGCGTAAGCTGATGTTAACCTGTCATAGAATGATTCGAATTCCAATTCTGAATTCCCACTTTCCCAGTCCCCGGCAGTCCGGCACGCCGTACGGGAATCGGGATGCCTAAATATTTGGTTTTTGTTACAAATATGTAGAAGAAGAAAATTTATTTTGAATAGAAGAAAAAAGGAGTATTTCTTGAAATGACTAAATATAAAATTATATAATATGTTCTATTTTCAGAAAGGCTATGATAATATACATAAATACATATGTATTTTATTCAAAGTCATTATTTAGTATTTTTTTCAAAAATATATAAATTAATATTCAATATTTACGGCCGACGAATGTAAATATGAAGTATTGTTTATATATATGTAATATGTACTATCAAAAAATATTGTTTTTTTTTCAAAACAATTAAAAAATTTATAACTGTTTGTCAACTTTCTTGTCGAATTTTCTAAAGAAAGAAAGTCAAAGGCTACTTTTAAGGAGACAGCTATGAATACAACAGTTCTAAAAATTGCAAACAAAAATTGCAAGTTGCAACTTCAACTTGTAACAGAAGGAGTGATAAAGTTGCCAAATATTTATTACACTATACAGCAATTGGGAGGATTACACGAGGAACTTGATTCATTGAGTGTCGCGATTGGTGACGCGAAGCGTGTGCATTGTCACTAATTTCATTAATGCATACATCATCGCGCTACAAAGATCGAAATCATTGAATCGAAACTTCTTCGATTGACTGATAATATTGCCGGCTTTGACTTTCGGACAACGAACTTACATTTTAGACTCTGTACAATATGACATGTACCCGATAGTAAGATTATCTATATCCAGCGATCCCATACTGACAGTGAACCGGTGCCAACTTCAGTGACCATGTATCAAGAATTAATGTGCACGCCTATTGAAAATGGGAGACTTGTTCGGAATAAATGTACTGTTGAGCTGGCTTCTTGATCCGCATCTTAATGCAACTGTTTAACGTCCGAGTTAAAACCTATACATGATGATATACACATTACTTCCGTCTAATAGTCTCCCAATTTATGCCAAATTTTATCAGACTAAAACACTGATCCTTATCTGTGGACGAATAGTGTACCCATATTCAATACACATGCTATATTTCAATGGGTTGTCCATGCCCAACAGATATATTAAACCAGGAATCAGAAGAAAAAGATCAGTGTTTTATTGGGCAATATAATTTACTTGTTGTGTGACTGGCATCGTTCCGAATACGGGACAAGCCCATTTCCACTCTGGCTTTGGCAAAGACTAGACTCGCGTCTATGCTGTTATTTACACATTCAGAGACAGCCTCGGTTGTGGGGTAGTTAAAAGTATCATCGCAAGCTACCATGGGGAAAATAACATGCAATATTTCTATGAGATGTCCATGACCAATCAATACATAATAAACAAGGAATCAAAAGTAAAAGATAGGTATTTTAGTGTACAATATAATTTACTTGTCGTGTGACTGGCATCGTTCCGATTACGGGACAAGCCCATTTCCACTCTGGCTTTGGCAAAGACTAGACTCGCGTCTATACTGTTATTTACACATTCAGAGACAGTCTCGGTTGTGGGTTAGTTGAAAGTGTCAACACAAGTTACCATGGGGAAAATAGGGCCTGAGGTGGTTAATGATTCTATTGTCACCAATGCTGTACATAGACATTCCTACTACTAAATAGAGACTGGAGAGAGAGCCCGAAGTTTCAAATTTGAAATCTTTGAAGTTTGAATTCGCCGGAGCTATGGATACATAGAATAATGATAATTTAAATCTTAGTGGAGCAATATAATTGAGAAAAGAGCATACGATAGGTGACTGGCACTCATTGCTATAAAATAAAGAAGAAAAAAATGCTGGCCTGCAGCCACATAGAACTGCAACAGCCAGCAACTTTGCAACTCTGCGCAGAATTTATTATTTATTACTCCACACTACCGTACAATGCAAGACTTGCAAGTTGCAAGTAGCAATGCAACAACTTTCGAATTTTCGAAGCCCAAATTTAGTAAAAGAGCTAAACCCTATATATGCCACCGATCTGCAATGAGCATACGGCATCATATGATCATGCTCAAGTATTTTCCAATATATCCTTTGCGTGAATTTCAGAAAATAGACATATTGGAATTGTAGCAAACTCAATGGATCCCCAACAACGGACACATTTCCGACAATCGTTAAACAAATTCTTCAGACTACTAGAATCTCGATTTTTCAACTTTGGACTAAAATAGAAGTCGTGAGGGCGCCTGGCGTTTGAGAAATGAACGCGAACCATCTACTATTGTGCGACTGGCTCAGTCAGGAATTCCACGAGAGAGATTTGAGATATTTATCTCCAAAGGTGCCAATTTGGCAGGCCTGTTTAGTATAAATACGGTGGTGGCCAAACGTATACACGTCACAAATAAATACAAAGTATATTACCCAAATTTAATATTATCATGTTTTCCCAAGCTTTCCTTTCTGCCGCGGTTGTTGCTTTGGTGTCTGCTAGCAGCATTGCTCCCCGTCAAGCACTCGTCAGTGCAATGGCCCCTAAACTCATAGAGAGTATCAAGGAGACACTTGTGCCATGTGCATCGTCGGATACATGTCTGCTAGGGTGCATTGAGTCTACATTAGCTACCGAGGGTAATCTTCTATGGGATAACATCCAGGTAATGTTCCCAATAGCGCAGTAATTGATGCTGGTATCACCGAGCTCACTATCGACGTCGAGGAATGTGTTGCAAACAGCACCACTAGTACTGAATTGGCCGAGTGCAATGCAGCCCAAACTGTGGAGAATACTGTTTCCAACGATTTCGTTAATGATTTGTTTTCCCCATGGTAGCTTGCGATGACGCTGTCAACTACCCCACTGCCGAGGATGTTTCTGCATGTGTGAACGATACCATAGATGAGGGTTTAGTCCTTGCCAAGGCCAGAGTGTAGTTGGGGGTTTCTCTTGAAAGGTGAACATTCGGTTTAGTTAAATAAAAATCTATATAGTTCTATGTTGATTCTATATGGTGCAATTTTTAACTCAAGTCAATTAGATCCTTAGATACGAATCATTGAATCATCACTACTCCAACGATGGGTCCATTCGTTTGAAGGGTAACCCCTGACTTCTTAGTAGCCATTCAATTTACATTGTACATACCAGTAACGGATTGCGTTGTATGTTATATGTAACATGCTTGTTTGATTCTCTCGCAGAAATTACATTTCAAAGCACAGTGTGTGTGGCGGTATGAGATGTCGGTAAAACTATGGCCTCGTATACTAGCTACAAGCGATTTAGCTTAAGATACAGTCGGCCATAATATCGTGAATAGTTGAACTTCATGCGTGTTTGAACATAGCCGTTTAAAAAATAGACAGGAAATATATTTGTTTCCTCCCATCTAATCTTGTTGAATTATTAACTACATTTTTGGTTCAAGGTTTCAGCCTATATCGTGATGAAGATACAGTCTGAACTGCTCTCCGTAATTGCTTCGTTTTGATGGTGAAGTCAAACTGTACAAACAGCTTCAAAAAATACACAGCCAAATCCAAGTAGAGACTTATTGTAAATACTTCAGGTGTTGCACCACCAAGTTCATTTACCAAAGCTACAATCGAACAGCACAGACGTAGTGACAGATTAGCATATGTCCAAAATTTCTGTACTAAGTCTACAAAACGGCCAGGCCGGCTACCGAAGAATACATTATTGACCAACAATTGCAAGATGCTCTCCAATGCAATAGATATCATAGCTTCGAAATCAAACGAACATCGAATACCATCTCATTGAAATCCAATAAATACCATGAAGAAACCATAGAAGTGCACACGTGATCTTTCTACATACAGGCAGTGATCGAGTCTTGCGAGTAACTGGATATCCCATCGTATAGCCGAAATTATCATTGGCTCCAACTACTTTATCGTGCTCGAGGAAGTAATAGCTCGTGATAAGATTAACTTTGACTTTGACGGTTGTATGATTGGTTTATGTGAGCCTTACCACTGATTCTCAATACTGTCGTTTAGAATCATACTTCCAATAGGGCCTAATACAGATGTCTCAACGTTATTCACACCGCACATATGATAATGACTCATTCCTAAATTCATATTTTTTCTGTGTATATGCACCTTCATCACCGCATACGCTAAAAGATAACTCGCCTGAAACAATGGACACATCATCCTCTGTGCTATCTGCCGTCGCGATTTTTCAGCCCGGCACGAAACCCTCATCATGACACGCCATGTCAGTTTCGACGAATACACGACACTTTCATAGTCGGCTATCGCGTTTACATACCAACTTACACAGACAGCCACACGATTTCTGCCCTCCCTACATCCACTTCGCCGCATTTTCAAATGTATAGGATTGTAACCTTCACTAAAAGTACAAGCAGTTACCTCTCGTTGCAATATATCATGTATACCATTGTGCTCTCATTACAATTCGTGCACTCGGCACAATGCGCCACCATATCGTGTCTAGCCAGCTCGACCGTGTTTACAAAACACATGTCGTCGGCGGTGTTCACGGTCACTTAACAAACATAACACTTCACCATCATCTAAACTACATTCTTCTGTGCTCAAAGGGCGCGTGTATCCGCATTAATTAAATTATTGAGCACTCGTATCTCCGCGTACACTATTTTAAATATCTCTAAAAATCTCCGTTCTACCAATTCAAAAGCCGTTGTTGGCTTCCGCTCCTCTTGCACAACTAACATCTCCACGATCAGGCTGCCTCTGCTTCTTTTGCCGCCATAGCCTCGGCCGCAGCCTTCTGCTTAGCAAACCTCTGCGGACTGCAATCATCCAAGTAGAAGTCGATCTCGTCTCGCTTCGCCTTTGTTTCTACACTCTCTGTATCGATACCATACACAGGTAGATTATCTACGTGCACGCGCGTGATACTCTCGGCCAATAGTCTGCCGGATGCTAGACCCCTCATGAAGCCCGACCCCGTCAGCACAAAAGCCTTGCCAGTGTCATCCAATGCACCACAGATGATTTTCTGGTCCGGTGTGAAGGGCATCACACCTGACCACGAACCAAGCATAGGCACACCTTTGAGCTGAGGGAACAGCCGTGTGACTGTGTTATAGTTGTCCTCGATGCCATCTTCTAGCACTATCCCGTCCAGGTTGGCCTGCACGCGATCGCCCCCGAATTTGGCTACACCATTCGCCAGCTGCACGCCGTAGAGGTGGCTAGTAATGCGTTTGTACGGTGCTGTATTCTCCCGGGTGGTCTGGTGTTTGACCTTGTTCTTGCGCCAGTACGTCACTCCCTCGAGACCGTAGACATTGTTATTGAGCTTGAAGTCCGGGTGCGAAATGGCAAACATCTGCCCGTGCATTGCCTTGACGGGCACATCACACCCAATCATCGCCGCATGCTCTTTCGCTTTCCATCCCGTGCAGATCACCACCACATCCGCGTCCAACTGCTCTCCATTCTCACACGTCACGCGGTAGTTCATGCTACTGTCCTCTACAGGCGCAATGTCTGTCACTGCATGATCTAGCAACAGTCTGACCCCATTCGCCTGAGCTCTCTTTGCGAAGGCATCACACACCATATACGGATCCACGGTTGCACCCCTGGGATGGTACACAATAGCCTTCAACTGCTCGGGAGAGATGGCCGGCTCTATCTCTGCCATACGAGCCTTATCCGTGACTATCTCCGCACCCCGTACTTTCCCATCCGCACCAAATATCGCGCGCGCACCTTCGAGTTGTTCATCGGTTTCTACCAACCCAATGGTACCCTTATCCGTGAACTCCACATCACCCCATTCCGCCTGCATTGTCTTGAAAAACAAGTACGCCTCCTCGCCAAGCCACTGTGTAAGACCCATGGGAGGTTTGGTTGACCCCACCTGACTCACATTGACATCAATAGCGCCATTGGGTTTCTCCTCAATCTCTGTCTTCTCGAGCAACGGACCAAGCCACATAATCGCCGAACTCCTCAGTGCAGTCCCTCCCACAATCGGATCGTGCTCGAGCAGCGCAACATCCCACTCGGCTGAGAATGTCTTGTTCTGCGACAGGAAATACGCTGCCGACGCCCCACATATACCTCCGCCTACTATAACCAGTCGCTTCTTCTGTGTTTTAGCCTTCTCCTCAATGATCTCTTCGATATCGGTCATGATCTTCACCGGCGTGTACGCACCCAGAATCAGACGCCCTACCGCTAACCCCGGGCGCATGGCCTGTGCCTGTGAGGAATGCTTCATCGCATGGTACTCTGCGGACACATCCTTTCCACCAAAGGATAGAAGGACAGCTTGGCCACCCGGATGTTGGCTTAACAGCGACGTGACATCGTAAATAACACCGTCTATAATAATCCAGCAATCGTCTTTATTCGCGTGCTCGCGCACTTCATCCATTGTGAACGGCTCTAACTCGTCGGTCTCCTCGGGTGTGAGTTCATGTATGCCCGCCCCTTCCTTACTCGCATCTGCTTCTGTAGCACTACTAAGAAGTCCCTCCTGTTTTGCCACCGGGTAGGTTGTGCTTGAATATACATACGTCGCCAGACACGCACCCGTTACAGCACTAATACCCCTCAACGCCAATCTCTGTGAACGCACATGTGTGTGTGTATGCTGCGAAGTGGCGCTTGCAAACCCTCGGGCGGCATATCTCATGGTTGTGCGCCGAGAGGCGCTTGTCATCGTTCTCCTCGACAAACAGGATTGTATATGCCTTGAAAACATCTTGAAACCCCCTCTGTGAATTGTATAGGTATAAATATTCAATGCACGTTCTCGAATGACTGGAGTTGTGGCAAAGGTTCAAATGTTGAATCTACGTGAACTGTCGACTACTTATTGCGAGAAATATGTAATTTAACGCCTTACCAGCCTCGTGTGCCTTTCACCCAGCGCTACACACAACAGCTTATTTATGTGCAAACTGATAATACAACTAACAAGGCTCATCCTACAGCTGAGATACGCTACATACTTTTAATATATATACTTATTTGAGAATCCATGACAATTGTACAAATCTGAGTGGACAATGGACACATTCTACAAAATCCAAATCATTCGGAACTCATGCTTCCCCGAATATGGGGATATTCCTTTTGCGGTTATAAGTAGTCCCGAAAATTCTTACAGGGGCTGCCCTGAATTTTCAAAAGAAAAAGGTGTGTAAACAGGCCTTGCACCTGAGAAAAAAGGTTCTGAGCCATATCTTGGACAAAGGCATAAAGCAATGGCCTTTTTTTCCGTTTGCCGTTTTTTCCGTTTTCTTTAATGTAAAAACAAAGCCAAAATATAGTCCCCGGAGACCGGAAACTGGAGAGGCTGAGGCATTGTGGGCTGCGGCCTATTTCACATCTTAACATGTATTATTTACAATCTATTTTTCCTGTCTCTGTACTTTACACCATTCTCTCACTATTTATTACATACAGTTAAATTCGCTCTCTATATACATTACACAAACTCTATATGTATTAACGCCATTCTCTCTCTATATATTGCACAATTCTTTCCCAATGTATAACACGATTATATATATAAATATATATAAATATATATATAAATATATATAAATATATATAAATATATATATATATATATAATATATATATATATATATATATATAAATATATATATATATATAAATATATATATAAATATATATAAATATATATAAATATATATACAAATATATATAAATATATATAAATATATATATAAATATATATAAATATATATAAATTTTTATAAGTATATATATAAATATATATAAATAT